GGCGAGGGCGGGTCCTTCTAGCCTCCCAGCCCAGCCCTGCCCTGCCCTGCCGCTCTCTTTGTGCTCTTTCCCGGCAACCGCGGCTGGAGGAAGCCGGCCCGCCCCTGCTAGCCTCCGGAGCAACCCAGCGACGTTTGCCCAGGCGTCAGTAGCCGAGGGAGGAGAGGAGAGGAGAGCCGGCGCCAGGAGAGCGCCTCCGGCCGTTGATCTCCGGGAGGTGCCCAGCCCTGAGCCGATTCCTTGGCGCTGCTCCCTGGGAAGTGAGCGCCCGGATCCGTGTGCATTGCTTGATCCAGAAATCGGTTTTGCGTGTCTCCTCTTCCATTAAAGGGAGGAGAGCAAAGGCAGGCGCCCCCGGGATCCCTTTGTTTTGAGTCTCCGCCTCGGACTTGGACCGCCCTGCTCCCACCGGCCCCGGGGAGCGGAGAGCTTCTCTCCCGCCTGCCTTTCGCATCCGGCTACTTCGTGGCCTTTTCCTCCGCCGTCACAGCCCGGCCCGGAGGCGTCGGTTCTTTTCTGCATCCCCGGAGAGGCAGGATGCTTGGAAGGGACACGTCTCTCTCTCCGGTTGACAGCTGCTGAGAGCATCTGAGAGAGAGCAACGCAGGACGGGGCTCGAGAAGGGGAGAAATGGACCATTTCCAGCAAGGGGTCTTCTTGTTGTTCTTCCTGTTCCTGGAGGCAAGTTTTTATTGTCAACCGCTATTGTAATATGAAGCATTTGTTTGTGTTACCGTTGTCACCAGGATTCTTACTAAAAGCATCACAAATAACAGTGTTTTGTGTTTATAAATATATGTTAAAGGTTCGAGGGGGCTTTTCCACCCACACTCGCTGTCACGGAGTAAGGAGAAGTCCCGTTGGGATCTAAGGGACAGCAAGGCCTAGTTCTCAGAAGGGAAACTGCCTGGGCAACATCACTTTAGTGGAAAGGTGGGAGCTCAGTCATGCAAAAAGAGCCTCAGCCACAGCAAACTAGATTCAGAGGAGAAAGGTTCTGGCCAGCTTTTCCCCTGGCATGCTTGTTTTCTATCTGCAGATATTTGGGGGGAGGTGGGCTAGGGAGGGATGTTTAATCCTGCCCAAACCTTTCCAGATGGCTGAAATCATTCAGTCCAGATACACCTTTAACCTCATCAAACTGGAGATTACAGGCAACTTCAACTGGTTCGCTAATGAAAAGTAGTTTTAGGGAACTAAACAACTTGAAAAAAAGTTCCCTTGAGAAAAAAAGGGAAGAGATTTGTGCCTGAGGGAAGAGTGCTGACCCAGTCCCTTAAGGCTTCCTTTACTGCTTTTGGTTAGCAATGTGTTCACAAGCTACATTCAACACATGTATAGGAGTCGGACATGACTTAACGACTAAACAACAACAACATAGTTTGTGTAAGCTATTAATATTTTGTATTTAGCATACACACATATTACTGATCTGAACATTTATACTATCATTTATACTATTATTTATTTGTTACATTTATATCCCACCTTTCATCCAGTATACAGTGGCTTTGCAACAGCACATTTGAGAGTGCAAGTAAATGGTTGAATACCATGGGATTTGCTCTGCTTATAAAATGGAGAATTTGAAGAGTTTTTACTGACTACTTGAAACCAAGGCTGAATTGAATTGCCCCAGCCCTTTTTTGCTTCCAAAGTGACTCCCCCGCCACCACTGGGGAGCTTCTTTTTTTTCAAACTGGAATGATTCAAATGGACTCCCCCCCCTTTGTGTAGTTAGTTGTGATCCATTCTTGTAAAGGGAAGGGGTGTGTCTGTAGGTGGTGTTTCAGTGACAAAGGCAGTTGGCACATGATGTTCAGGATACAGGAAGGGGAAATGCAAAAAGCAAAGCACCATGATTAGAGTTTGCTGTCAGATTGCTACCTTTCTGAAAAACTTTTCTATAGAAAAATAACATGGAAAGGTGGTCTCAGAACACAGAATATCAAAAGTCTGAACAATAATTTTGCAAAATACCTAATGCTTCCATACTGTTACTATTTTCTCTTACTTTCAAGTAATACATCTGATAATTACCACCTCTGTCAGACTTCAATTGGCGGTGCTTTGTACTTTCTTCCTTACAAACCAACCAACCCTAAAGGCTATAGGGTAAATAACAGAAATCTGTTGTTTGACTACAGCTGACACAAGTTTTCAAGGTTTGTAATAGCTGACAATATCTCAGCAAAGGGTTAATACCAGAATAAAATCAGACAAGCATTAGATAAGCATTTCAGAATTCATGTATTTTCTTTGTTGCAATAATTCCAGCAACTCTAAATTTGTGTATTTTTCCACAAGTTTTATTTGTCTACATAGCTTCCATGTTTCATAATAAAAAATCAACTAAGAGTTGTTATAACTTCCAAACAACTTGAACTTATGTAAAGCTTTAGGCACATATCTTAAAACCACATTTGTAACTTGTAAACATTCAGAAGTATTTTTGTAAAGAGTAAAAGCTCTCTTAAAAGTAAAAAAGAACAATGAATATTTCAAATGCAGTCTGAGGCATATGTCTCTTAGAAGATCACAGTGATCAAGAATAAAAATACATAAAGTAAAATTGATTATTTCTAAGCATATTAACACAAACATAAAATTAATACACATTGTTCTCACCCAGTTTTAGCCAGGTTATAGTTAAAACCTATGTAATATCCATCCTTCTCTCTCTCTGTAGCTAAGATGGCTCTCAGCTGCTTTATCCTCTGAAGATTATTGTTCTTGTAGTGTGAGAAATGATTGGTTATTTTTATAGTGTAATCTATATTTACGTAACCCACTAAGAAGTGGCAGTGGCTTTTGTTGACCTTAGTTGCTTCCCAGCAGCAATTATCTGCTGATTAACAAGAAACTGTTTATACTTACTGCTAAACAGCAATGAACTGTTATTGCTTACAAGCAAAAAGAAAAAGAATCTGACACCACACATGTCTGTTAGTAAGCAAAACAAAATGTACCGTGTTTCTCTGAAAATAAGACAGCGTCTTATATTAATTTTTGATCCAAAAAACATATTAGAGCTTATTTTCAGGGGATGTTTAATTTTTTTCCATGTACAATAATCTACATTTATTCAAATACAGTCATGTCATCTTCTGGTTTTTGCACAGTGGTGGAGGGCAGGGTTTCACTTAATTGGAACTTATTTTGGGGGGTAGGGCTTATATTAGGAGCATCCTGAAAATACATTTGTGGTTGTTTAGTCGTTAAGTCGTGTCTGACTCTTCATGACCAGGCCCTCCTGTCTTCCACTGCCTCCCAGATGTTTGGTTAAATTCATGTTGGTAGCTTCAATAACACTGTCCAACAATCTCATCCTCTGTTGTCCCCTTCTCCTCTTGCCTTTGCTAACTTTCCTAACATCAGCGTATTTTCCAGGGAGTCTTCTCTTCTCATGGGATAGATGGCCAAAGTATTGGAGCCTCAGCTTCAGGATCTGTCCTTTCAGTGAGCACTCAGGGTTGATTTCCTTTAGAATGGATAGGCTTGTTCTCCTTGCTGTCCAGGAGACTCTCAAGAGCCTCCTCCAACACCACAATTCAAAAGCATCAATTCTTTGGCGGTCAGCTTTCTTTATGGTCCAGCTCTCACTTCCATCCATTGCTACTGGAAAAAACATCGCTTTGACTATGCGGACCTTTGTTGGCAAGGTGATGTCTCTACTTTTTAGAATGATGTCTAGGTTTGTCATCACTTTCCTCCCAAGAAGCAAGCATCTTTTAATTTTGTAGCTGCTGTCACCATCTGCAGTGATAATGGAGCCCAAGAAAGTGAAATCTGTCACTGACTCCATATCTTCCCTTTCTATATGCCAGGAGGTGATGGGACCAGTGGCCATGATCTTAGTTTTTTGATGTTGAGCTTCAGACTATTTTTTGCGCTCTCACCCTCATTAAGAGGTTCTTTAATTCCTCCTCACTTTCTGCCATCATAGTGGTGTCATCTGCATATCTGAAGTTGTTGATATTTCTTCCGGCAACCTTAATTCCGGCTTGGGATTCATCCAGTCCAGCCTTTTGCATGATGTATTCTGCATATAAGTTAAATAAGCAGGGAGACAATATACAGCCTTGTTGTACTCCTTTCCCAATTTTAAACCAATCAGTTGTTCCATATCCAGTTCTAACTGTTGCTTCCTGTCCTTTTTTTCTTGTTGGAATTGTTTGTAGGGTGCAGGTTCAGTGACTGTATTTTGCTCTGCTTCAGCCTTTCTCATGTCCTTCTGTGGGGATTAAAACACCACATTGTACTCATGTGAGGATCCTAAGTTCAAAAGTTCTTGGCAAGATGGATTTTGCCAGGCATGTCTTTCCTAGATGTAAGTCTGATTGCTGTTTTATGGCTACAGCAAAGAGTTGATGTACATGCATTAGTATGCACACTCTATGTTTTCCCACACTGTCTAAGTCCCCATATTGCAGGGAGGTAGGTCTTTCTGGCCTGGGCTGCAATTGCTGGAGTCCCCATATTGCAGGGAGGTCTTTCTGGCCTGGGCTGCAATTGCTGGGGGTATAATCCCTGAGTGGAGTGAGGGCAGAGCTACTCAACACAGCCTCACAACCACCTTCTGCATGCTTGTATGACCTTAAAGTTGTGGGAAACCCTACCTTGATTTCTGAGTTTGTCAAAACAGGTGGTAGTTACCTTGGAAAGCAAAGAAAAAAAAAAGGGGGGGGGTCTCATATTTCTTGTTACTTCATCTGGTCCAGAGCTGAGATCTAATAGTGGGATTTTTTTCTGGGGAGCTGATATGACCCAAATTGGGAAGTGTGGTGTTATTTAGCATGATAAATTTGGTTTATGGCTGAGGGTCAAACTATGTGTTATGGCCTAAATGCATCTGCTAGGCCCATCAAGAGTAGAACCATTGAATCAATTGTCCAATGGTGAATTAGTACTTAGACGCACAGTGTGGTGTAGTAGATAAAGAGATAGACTTAGATGCTGGAGGCCTGGGTTTGAATACCCACTCAGCCATGGAAACTCACAGAGAATGTGGAACTAGTAAAACCACTTACTTTAAAGCCCTATTAGGGTTGCTGCAAGTCGGTTCCGACTTGACAGTACATAACAAGTCCTCTAGTTGGGACTTGCGATTGGCCTTTATTCTTTGTGCTAATAGATGCAGTGGAACTTAGATGTCCAAGTAGTGGTGGTGTAATTTTTAAAGTTGCCATTTATATAGGGCAGTCAAGTGGAGAGGTAATGGGAGAAGGACCTGCTAACCTTTCCTTGTCCATTCTGTGGAAGTGGAGGAAAGAGAGAGAATAATTCCTATCACAATGTTCCTGTTAGCTGCAAGTAATTCATATATGTTACAAATGAATTGACAATGTACAAAAGCTATTTCCCCTTTGTTTTAATTTTAGGAGTTGTTGCTCTTTCACTAAAAGAAATAGTTTACGAACACATTACATACCCTATATTAACTAACTAGATAATATGACTCCCTGTGCCTCCTGCTCCTCCCAGATGTTCATGTGGCTTGTGAAAAGCCTTGAAATATCCACATAAACTTAAATATGGCATCCAGAGTGCTTTAAGCTTTAAGATTTTGAAACCTAAGACATAAGGGTTATTTTGCTACCAAGGTTTTATTTAGATAAAATATGTCTTTATTAATATGCTGCATATATTTAAATTTTTTAAACTAAAAATACAACAAATTATAAGGAAAATGGAAAACTACATAAAGCGACAAAATACTGTATATAAAATAACTGGGGGGTTTTGTGGGTGATTTATGTGCTGCATCTGTGCGTACTGATTTCAGGTAGAACTTCTATTACCTTATTTTGTTTATTATTTGCTAGGACCTCTTGATGTATATCCAGAGGGACAATACCAGCCAAATAATAGATGTTTCCAGTGGGGGTAGGATTTCACGTAGTCATTAATAATCCTGCACGATACATTAAGAACTACACCCACTTGTTTGATGTGTTCTGATTTATACAATATACTGTAGCAGTAGCATTTTCTTCTTTGGCTTTGCACAGAGGCAAAGCTGTTGTTCTTATTGTTTATGGGTGTGCACCCTAGTCTGATATAGCCAGTTTCTTGAATAAGCTATTTCTGCTGACTACTTTCTGTTTGGTGTTTAGACAATATTTTTTGTAGGCTGTTGCAGAGTGACACACAGAAACTTCGGGGTAGGGCAGTGTGGTAATATCTTTTTCTTCCTGGCTAACTTGGAGCTTCCTTTCTGCTTCTCTGTTCTTGACGTGGAAAGCACAGACCTGTATTTTATGAAATAAAATAAAACAGCACCAATCCCATCCATTACACAGACACCAACCACTTAGAGTGGCTAAAATCAAGGAAAAGGTTCCTGGACACATCTCAAGCTCTAAATATTAAACTAGAAGAGGCTAGGCTAAACCTATGGAGAACAAAAACAACATACAACGAAAACAACATTGGAAAATGGATGAATGCTGAAGTGTCTCCCACTTGGACAAGACTCTAGCTGGACCATTCGGAAATAATAGACTTTGAAGCAAAGTAAGAAGATCAAAAAATAATCAAACAAAATGGATGCAGGATGAATTTTTTACTTTGACTGTGGAGAAATTCAATCAAGGTAGCACTTGCATGCAGTTTATGCCCCACCATGTGTACAAAAGAAGATCTACTAAATGGCTGAGATAATGCTATTGAAGTAGCCCACTTAAGGTCAAAAACAGTCTAATTATCTTAACATTTTAATGTATTTTTCATTTTTCCTATACAGTATTTCATATTCACCCATAATTTTAAATTCTGCAATACTATGATAAGAATAAAAAGAGATGTGATTTAGAAGGCAGATTCTGGTACAGATCAACCAGGCTAGGCACTGAACTCCAGTAGTTTATGAGACACTGCCCCAAATCCTCTTGTCTGGTTACCCTGGCATACCAGATATGCTGTAATTTTCAGAGGCAAATTGTCCCATGTTAAGAAGTCATCTTAGACTATATCAGTTGTATACTGAGTTTTATAGTTTAACATGCAAATGATAATGTCTGTGTTTGTTTGCCTTCAAAGATTCTATCAGTGGCATAACTTTTCAAGAAAATTTAGGACACTGTTTTACAGGGCCTCAGCAGACTCAGGTTAAGAATTTGAAGAATTCCAATTTTCAAGAAATCTTCCAGACATCTCTCTTCTGGGGTCAGGAAGCTGCAACAATATATCTACTTTGCATTGATCTTACTGATAATCAGCTTGTAACAAAGTAGTTATTTTTCCCTTTTGGAAGATTAATATTTCAGCCCCTGCAGCCTGGATACCTTCTAAATTTAATACAGAAATACTTGGAATATACCTTACAAAACTGTATGCTAGTTCCTTGGTGATTCATTGCAAAATATTGTTTTGTTTAAAACAAGCCTGTTGTTTTGATTCTTCAAAGAAAACCTGATTTTTGACTTTCTGAGACCTTTCATTGCCCTCCAAACATCTCCCTTCCTGACCATGAAGCTACAACAGTGTATTTACTTTGGAAGGGTAAGCCTAGTCCAGACATGCTCAGTTTATAAGAAAGTCACTACTTTAAGAAAGGCTATTTTTGAGGCAGGTTAAACAATTTTATTTTATGAAATCACAACCCCAAAACCATTTGCCCAAACTTCCCCAAGTTAGGCACAGAGCAAGAAAAGACTGTCTACTACACCTGTGCCAGATTTGGTGCTGATCTGAAACCCAATTTCAAAGTCATATTTTTTTTTGTTTGGGCTGCCCTCATTTTTAGAATTGTGTTATGAATGTTGATTAGTTCTGCCAGCATAGGAGCATTGCTACACTCTCATGCAGCAATAATATTGGCAAGATTAGTTACTGTGAATGAAGCTGTCTTGACATATTGAGAAATCATGAACGGATCAAGATAAGGGATGAATTTTAAAATGAAAGTTTGAGCAATTTCTATATATTTCCTCTGTGTAAAATTACTGCAAGGAAGCCACATGCATACAGTAAGTGCAGAAGGACTTGCTGGTTAATAAAAAAGAACCAGATAATACATTTGATATTACTAATCTCTGTTTCCTCAACAGGAAAGCAGCTGTTTTAGTTTTGCACAATTTGTGCAAAATTTCCCCTCTTCAAATGTGAGAAATTGAGTGAAGAGTGTTGGTACATATCTTGCCATCTCACTGGCAAGTATGAAAATACAAGAGCCCTGTTTGGGTATTACTACTCTGCTTTTATATATCACATGAGCGGAGGAGCACCTAGCGCCTCCTTCCATCATTTTGTCCACCCCTGCAGATGAGGTTCCTGCTTGCATGTGGACTCTTCACATAAGTGGAAACCCTGGAGAGCATCCATATGAAGCAAAACTTCTCTGTATACATTGCACTTTTCACATGGAGAAATCAATCAATGGGAAGAAACTTCACGTTCCTCTACGTATGTGATCAATAAAATCATGGGAGGCAGTACCTGAATCAAAATGACCACAAAGGCATTTTTATTCCTAATCTCTCTGATGTTGAGTTCCTGTGTAATAAAACAGAGATTGCAATAAATGTTCTGTCTCTTTAGAAACATTTGGTTTAATTCAGTACCAGAGATTCTCCTGAGCTGCAACTTAATAATGATCAGTCTACCACTTTTTTCTATTGGTTGGGTTTTACAGCAGTGGATTATGGAGCAAATTGCATGTCAGAGTAATAGAAGATTAAGTTTGCAATGTACAATCCATTTAGGAGAAACTATGCAGCACTCTGACAGGCTCTAATGGATTTTATAAACAGGGTCTTTCAGCATCATTTCTTAATGCTCCATTCACACATTTAGCTTTTTTCTGGTTGTATGTCAGCTTCCTTTGATCTAAGAGTTTAGGGTTCAGCATATACAGTATCTGGTGTTAAAGGGAGGGAGGTTTTTAGGTCAGGTAATGGTCAGGTAATAAATGGCTTTCAGGAAACTATAGCCTTCTTTTAGAATGGACTTTTGGACTTATCCCTCTTTTAAATAAACTAAACACTCACATATCACTGGACCATGATCTGTTCATGTTTCATACACACCACTGAGTGCCAGCCCTTCAATTCCATATATGTGTACAGATACACACATGAATGTATGTATGTACACATGTATGCATTTCTCTCTCTACACACACACACACAGAGAGAGAGAGAGAGAGAGAGAGAAGCCTTGTACTTCATTGTTTTGGTTAATTTAATGATGAAAAAAGAAGGAATGGATGGTAATGGTTTTAAAAATCTGAGTCATCGATTTTTTTTAATCTTTAAATGCCAATGAGCTTTTAGCATTAGTGGTCAATTAAAGAGAATTCTACTGGTGAAAGTACGGGAGTTGCCAACTAGAGAAAAGGACAGAAAAACAAATACTCCAGATGGCTGTTATTCAGATGCATGCAATTTTGGGGATCACTTACATTGTAATAAGTTCAGAATAACACAAAATTTAAGAACGGGAATACAATGTCGTGGTCTGGCCAAGCCTGCATTTGTTCCCTGAGCTTCTGGAAGCTTTCCTAGAGACTAGCTGCAGCTCACCACAGCTGCAGTTCATCAGAAATTATGTAAATAGGCGTCTCGGTCCTGTATATAAGGAAAAACGCCAGCACAGTTGGTGTGGGTTAGAATGGGTGTGTAGGAGTGCACGTCTGCTGCTATTTTCTTTATTTTGTTTAAAGTAAAGTGCCTCTGAAGAAGACTTGCTTTGCTTGTTGTGCTTCCTTTTGCTGGAACCTCTGCTGAAAAGGCATAACCCTTACATCCAAAACACAACATACAATATATATACTTGAGCTGCACAAAGAAAATATGCAGGGCTTATAATATAATGCAAGCTATTGTAATGCAGAGGTGGGTGACTGTAGTTGTCTAAGGTTGAACAACCATAATGCATCACTAGAGGCTATGCTGGGTAGGGTTGGTTGCAATCTAACAATGTAGACAGATATGTTTGGTCGCTTATACATTATTAAAAAGAACACATGTAGACACCTTATGAGAAGGACAGAAAAGGATATGAATTTGCTTAAAATTGCTCATGCTCACTGGTATGTACTGATGCAAAATTAGAAATGATTAATTTACAGTTTGTTAAATGGAGTTATAATGTGTTCACCCCAGTGGAGAAGATTGTGACCAGGTGACTGTGTGTCTGCTGAGTTTGCTCTTTAGGTGCTAACTGTAGATGGAGAACTTCAACATCCCTTTATCTTTTGATTTGGATTGGACAGCCCTGCATATGGATGGCTGTCCTCTGTAAAGAAATATGGTCCATCCTTGATGTAAGGGGATAATCGTATAGTAGTGTAATAATGAGATGTTCAGAATGGACAGGTTTAAAATAGACAAAAGCAGGAATACAGGTAGGCTACAGAGGTGTAGGCTATAAAAAAGTATATCTGAAGTCCATGTTATGTAATAGGCTAACCATGTTTTTAGAGGCAGCCTCCTTTAAGTGATGAAAGACATTGTTTATTACATCACACGATTGTCCTCAAATATCTTACATTTATTGTCTTTTGTTTTGTAATTGGCTATTGGAAGGTAGACACAGGCTTAATTTGCATGTCTGATAGGTGAGATGTGTATCTCTGAGCAAATTGCTTTGCAAGAGAAAAAAGTAGTTTAATACAGAATGTATATTGGCATTAACGTTTTAGTTTGATTTAAGGAAGCGGAGGGAGAGTCAAAGAGAGTTTGTCCTTTGCGCTTCTTAGTTCCATGCAGATTCCTCTGGACTGCTGCTGCTAAGAAAGAAACTTCAGAGAAAGAGCCTGGCAAGAGCAGATAACTTCATTCAGTCAAACCAACTGAGAGCTGCTATCTTAACCAGACATGCAGTAATACCAACTGTCAATGCAGCCATGTTCAGAGGGACCTATAAAAGCCTCATTATTAAACAAAGGGGCTTCAGTAGTGGCATTTCAATTGCCACATAGGAACTTGAAGATGCTGTAACCGTTTATGGAGTTAAGGTCAGGGGATAGCCACTGAGGCTAGTTCTGTTCTTTAAGTTCTTGCTTCAGCTAATAGCTCAAACCTTTGTAATGATTGTAAAGGCCGAAGGAAATCAGTTTCAGGCCCAGTGCCTGTGTTGGTCCTTGGGCCCTGCACATAAAAGTTGCTTCCTCACTGTAGGAGGTCTGTTGCATTGCTCATGCCAGTTCAAATTAATGTTTACAGGAGGAAGATATAATTTTTCTCATCTCTGGGATAGTTTGGCCAGAAAATGGTAACAGTTAAGGTTGGTTATTGAGAAGCCACTATATATGCAGTATGGAGAGAAGGAAGCCAAGAATTCATACATGGAAATACACATTCCGGTTAAGTTTTTTTGCTGGCTTCCAAAAATAAATTTCATCCTTTTAAAAATTGCAGTAGCTATGTCATGTAGGCTGGGATTACTAACATACCCTTTGCTTAGATGGAATAAAAAAAGTCCTCTGAATTTATCTTTGGTTCTTTTCACAAATCAAACACTAAGATTGCCAAGGTTTTGCAAAGGCACATGTACCATATGTTTCCATGTATAAAGTGACACTTTTTCCTAAAATCATTAGACGAAAAATTGAGGGTCATTTTATACACAGATGGAGGCAGAGGCAAAGGAGCAGCCATGCTCAGCTGCCTCTTGCAGCTGCCCATTCACTGTTGCCACCACCACCGGTTCACCTCCTCCAGCGCCACTTGCGGGCTCCCTTCAGGCAGGGCACAAGGCAGCGATGTGAGCTGGATGTGAGCCCTGGCAGTCACACCAGAGGAGATGATTGGGTGGCGGAGGCAGCAGCAGGAGGCAGAGGCAGAGAAGCAGCCGCACTCGGCCATCTCTCGCGGCTGCCCGTTCTGCTGCTTCCACGGTCTGATCGCCTCCTCTAGCACCACCGCCGGGGCTCACCTCCAGCTCATGTCGCCACCTTGTCCCCTGCCCAAAGGGAGCCTGCGAGTGGTGCTGGAGGAGGCAATCCAGCAGCGGAGGCGGCAGCAGGAGGAGGAGGAGATGGAGGCAAAGGAGCAGCCGTGCTTGGCCAACTCTCGCTCCTGCCCATTGACTGCTGTCACCACCGCCAGATTGCCTCCTCCAGCACCACTTGCAGGCTCCCTTCGGGCAGGGGACAAGGCAGCAATGTGAGCTGAAGGTGAGCCCCGGCAGTCACACTGGAGGAGGTGATCAGGCAGCAAAGGCAGCAGGAGATGGAGGAGCAGTCAAGGGGTGCCTTGCAGCTGCCCATTGACTGCTCCTGCGCCTCCAGCAAGGGTCAAAATTAGGGGGTTGTCTTACACATTGGGGGGGGCTATACATAGAAAAATATTAAATCAGTGCTTGTATTTTTATGACTTGTGCAGTTAAGGCAGACCGGACTGTACTGATATGTCATTTGATGTGCTCCCACTGATTAAGACCTTTAAATCATTTTTAGGAATATTTACAGTACAAAAACATTCCACTTTCTGTTTAGTGTTAAAACTGCCCATACCTGTTGTTGAAGCTGATGTAGAAACATACATCCCACCTGAAAAAGTGAGAAAAGGATTTTTTTTTTTTGGTAATTTGATTACTTACTGCTTTCAGTCTGTTGCAATTTATTACTGAAACATTGATGATCAAAGCTGAAGGACAAAATATTGAGATGTATATGTATTCTTCTCTCTCTTTCCTAGAAAAGAATGGTGAGCATAAGTGCTACATCTGCTTCTTGTGGCATCTTTCAGTGTGAGCTGTTGTGGATTACAGCCATGTCTTCAGGCACACTTATTTCTTCAGGCTTACGTGTTAGGCTTTGTAAATCTCTGCCACTGAATAACTAAATGTTGTCAAGATGAGGGAAACTTCCATGAATTCTGGCCATTAATAATAAATAAAAAATGTATAGTATTCCTGGTAACTCCATTGTGGTGGAAGTATTTTTCTAAAGTAGAAATGATGCTTCAAAACTTCTTATACAGTTGTTTTTCTTTTAAGAACAGAGATTTATGCAAAAGACTCTGCCAGACTGAAATTTGATAATCTCTGATGCATTATGACTCCCATGACCTATCCCTCTGGGGTCTCATTTTTTAAACCTACTGAAATATAGCATATTATGGTTGTTGCAGTAGAAGAATGGAATAGTGGTGATGCAGGTCTTTTGTAAGGCAAACTTTCCACACAGAGTTAAAGGTTCAGTGATGTGGATGTGATTGTGATCTTCCCTAGAGTTTTAGGCTATGTACCGTATTTTTCCATGTATAAGACTATACTTTTGTCTAAAATTTTTAGACTAAAATTGAGGGTTGTCTTGTACACAGAAGTAAGCTGAGGAGAGAAAAAACAAGTGGAGGGGACATCAGGGATCAAAGTGATCCTGCAGGGTTTTGATCCCTGCTTTCCCCTCCACTTGCTAAGCCTTAGCGAAAGGAAAGCAGGGATCAAAGCGCTGCACAATGGTTTTGATCCTTGCTTTCCCCTCTGCTTACTAAGTCCCATGGGGCTTAGCAAGTGTAGGGGGAAAAGGATCAAAGCAATTGCATGGCTGTATAAGGGGGAAAGGAATCAAAATGGTCATGCAGTCGCGGGATTGATTTGATCCCTTCCCCCTCCTTTTGCTAAGCCCCGCAAGGCTTAGCATGAAGGGAGAAATCAGGGATCAAAGCACTACAGGATTGCTTTGATCCCTGCTTTCCCCTTTATGCTAAGCCTTCTTACTTTCCCCCTACACTTGCTAAGCCCTACTTAGATTTCTTAATTTTGGGTTAGAAAAGTGGGGGGGCATCTTGTACACGGAAAAATACAGTATATTGAAAAACTTTATTCACTGCATTCTCCATGGCTACCTGAAATGCTTGCTTCTAATCATTTATTTGGTTTGCTATGGATAGGAAGAGTTAACTACAAGTGGCCGAGCAGAAAATATGTGCAAATTAAAAGAGAGGCTGTTCTCTGTTTCCCACCCTACAGCCTTTTCTTTTTCACTGTTCAAATGTAGTTCTATCACAGGTTATTTGGGAATGGATGGAAGTTGGGATGGACAAAATGCCCTTGGTGCTCCCCAGTCTCCATTGCTGCTGTCTCTGTTGATCATTTGTCCCTTCTCAGTGGGTGGACATAAGAATCATTTGCATCCAAAAGACTGATAGAATAAAGAATGAAGAAGTACTTAATTGACTATGAAGAAAAATAGGGTTCCTTTATGTGGCTTTTCTGGAACTTTGTATGGTAGGACAAATGGGAGCTGCTTGCTGTGGTGTCATCACATATGGTTATGTTTGCGTGAATGCCAGGACCACTTGGGTAGGGATGACTGAGTTGGTGCATGTGATTAATACTCTTCTTCATGTTGGAATGCTGGCAGACATCCATATAATCACCACCAAATGCTTCTGGTATGTGCACATGTGTGCAATAGCACTGAAGGAAAATGGCTGCCACTTTGTCGGAGTGGGTGTAAGAGAGCAAGCTCATACCAGCACTCTTCTGCTTGAAATGTCCTAAATTAAGCAAGTCCATAGTCCATTTGTCCTAATTAGTAATGCCTGTCTGACCTCTGTTGTAGTATTGTATGCATCAGATTGGTTAAAAATGAAGGGAATATTCATGTTTTCATCTTATTAAGAATTGCTTGTTGCTAACATTCTAGAACTTTAAAAGGTTTTCTGTCTCCATCTCCTTGTGGTTTTTGATCCATCTATCACTATGCCATCCTGAGTTACAAATCCAGTTGATAATATAACGCAACGTAATAGTCTTCATGCTTTGTTTCTTCAGGAACATGGTTTCCCAGAGAATTTCTGGGTAGAACAAGAGGCTTCTGAAGCATATTCTTGACGTTTCGTAGAACCATGGACTGTGCCAGGTCTGTGAGTGGCTCTGGCCAGTTCTGTTAATCTCACTGTTACCTTGTTGAAATAAGAGTTGGTGCTGTTCATATAGCTCAAAGTTTAGGTTCTTCTTTGTGGCCTCTGTGAATCACAGCCTGGGTGATCCGTGTCTGCGCGGAGCCTCGTTGGAAAGTTTTAGAGCTTCTGAGGTAGCAAAAAGCACATTAGAATAAGACCCCTCCCCCCTTGTATAAGTACCTTGGTGCCAAGGCTCCCCTTTCAGTTTCTTTCAACCGCTGCATTGAGAGCCACATAGTTCTGCTTCTGTGAGTAAAAGAGAAAGAGAGCTTATTCTTGATTCCTTCCTGTTATCGATCTTTTTTCCTTTAAACTTTTAGATCAAATTCATTACAATCAGAGATTTTTCTTTTCTACTTTGCTTGGCCACTGGCCGCACCCCCCCATCATAATTTTTTTCTCCTCAAATTATTTTCTCCTATTCATGGCCCATTTAAACACTGTGTGGTCTGTAATAAAATACCATTCTCCAACGGCCACACCAAGTGTTTCTTTTTGCTTGGGAGAGGCACACCAGATGTTCTCCTGCCAGCATTGTAAGAACTTCAAGTGTGGAGTCCTCCGCTCTCGCTTATCCAGATTAAAACTTCATCTTTGAGAACAATCCCCTCAACTAACCAAATGGCCCAACCTCCTTGTAAGGTCACCTCACAAACTGAAGCCATGGAGAAGGCTCTTTCTGAAGCTTCAAAACAACGTCCATCAACCACACCATCCCATTCCGACGCTCTATCCACTTCGTCTAAAACTTCAAAAACCCATAAATTGAAGCACTTGATACCGAAATCCTCGATATCGAAGCCCTGCACTAAACGTCAAATGTCCACCAAAGCCTCCTCAATTCCGGAGCCTTCTCCGCCTAAAAGACCTAAACAGGATAAATCTAAAGTTGCAGTCATTTCTCAGCAGCCTCAACAAACTGCCAAATCAATCTCTATTGGTTCGCCTTCTGATGATGACGGAATCCCCTCTCATCAACCCTGCTCCCAATCACCAGAATTGGATGACAGAGTCGATCGATTAACATCTTCTCCCAGTTCTCAACACTCTGTTCTTTCGAGCAACCCTTCTGTTGTTGCTTCATCTGATAGGGTCGACTCCAAACAACAACTAGAGACCATACCTTATTCGGTAACATCTGATCGTCCACCACAACCTCCTCAGAGACATTGGCCCCAGCAGTCCTTGGAGCGGTCTGTTTCATCATCTCAGCGCTCTCACCGGGTTGCCATTTGCCCCGTCTGTTTCATCATCTCAGCACTCTCACCGGGTTGCCATTTGCCCCGACCAATGCTTGACCAGACAAAGCGCAACTGCCAATCAACCAGTTGCTCTATTCAGCTTGGCCATACCTTCTCATGGTGGGCCTCGATCTCAACAATCATCGGTGTCGAAATGGCCATATCACTGTGACCCACATCAACTCCAACCTGCTCCCTGCCTGGCACCTAAAAGACCCAGGATGGTTGAGCAAATTTCTTCTACATGCAAGGCTTTTACAGCTCCAGCCTCCTGATATTTTCCCGCTCATCCAGACAATGGAAATCCTCTGTCTATATACTCCACTGCTTTACCAGCTCGTCAACAACCTCTGTTTCAATATCACTGAGACACAGGCTCTGATATCGATGATCCTCGCTATCCATCCTGGTCCATGGACACTCATTCTGTCCCTCTACGCATGATTTCCATTGCCCAATAGAACCAAGCCATCGAACTCGACATCACTATGACCCCAGGTTCAACACCAATGTCCAACCATATCAAACAACGTCGATGGACACTCGGATGACATCTCTCGATATCGAAAATCCTCGACACTGACAAATGCCCATGGACATGCCACCTCCATCAACATTGAGCCACAAACGTCAATACTATGACACTCAACCTATCGACACCGAAGTTGATCGACAATCCGGCAACTCCCGACGCAATCCTGATTATTCCAATCATGGATCCAGACCTCAGATGCCATCAGTATTACTTACCTCACCAGAATCTGATCTTGTTGATGCCGACCCACCATCACCGGCGGAAGACTTCCAAACTTATGCCCAACTTATGATCTGTATGGCTAAGTCTCTCAGTCTCCAAATCCACCATCCTTCAGCAGAACTGGCTGATCACCTATACGACTCAATCTCCAATGATACAACTACTCCAGTACATATCTCTATGCTTCTGTCTCTACTCAGCACAGCTCAGTGATTCTGGACAAAACCAGCCTCTTCCCATACCATGTCTAAACGAATCAATAACTTCTACAGAGTCCATGATCCTGGAGCTCTATTTCTTCAAAAACAACCAGCTCCAAACTCTATTTTTGTTGAAGCCTCAAAATCCAGATCTTGACATCAACAAACCCTCATACCACCAAATAAATATAGTAGAAGGAAGATGGCTTTATTCATCAGCAGCGTTCACCATGTGTGTCACTAACTACCAGGGATCCATGGGTGCATATCAACGTTTCCTTTGGGACAATATGTCAACCTTTGTCAAATCTTTACCAGAAGATAAAAAAGTACTCACTCAAACCTTTCAACAAGAAGGTCTTTCCATTGCCAAATAACAGGTACATTCTGCTAGGCACACGGTAGATGCCACAGCAAAGTCAATGGCCACTTCAGTAGCTTTACGACGTTTCTCTTGGCTAAGGACAGCTGGCCTAGCTGAGGATGCCCACGCATGTATCAAAGACCTTCCATTCGATGGGGCAAACCTCTTAATGCTGAAACTGATGGTATTTTGGAAAACGTGCAAAAGAAAAGATCAGCAGCTAGACATTGGGGAGTTTATCCATCTTACCAACAATGCCCCCCAAAAAATCAATGAGGCGACCGTACAACTCATATCAAAAATTCCAATGTTATCCTCCAAAACAAACATCTTATACACCCTATTTCCGAAATCAAAGAAATAAACCCCACCAAAAATCCATTACTAGGCCTAACGAGATACTCACTTCACCCTTACCCTCCTTTGTGATCTCAGTCTTGCTGTCAACAAACAAAAAACAAATTTGAAACATACAAAAATTATTCATTATATAGGCAAATGCATAGATTCCACACAAGCTCGCACCTTTCTTCCTCCAGACAAGAGAGAAAATCTCATAGCATTACATCACATTTTCACCCCTCGTGCTATGGTACCCACCTTGACTTTGCAATGTGTGCTAGGCACCATGGCCTCTATGACTTCAATATTGCAGCACATACGTCTCAATATGAGATATCTTCAGTCGTAGTTTCTCACCCTCTTCAACCCGTTCACAGACTCTCCTCACACTCTTTTAAGAGTTACCCCAGAACTCACCTCCCAACTTCAATGGTGGCGTTTTCCTCCCAATATATTCGTCTGGCGGCCGTTCCGACAACCACAACCACAAATACAGGTCACCACCGATGCCAGCCTCACAGGCTGCGGAGCTCACTGCAAATCCCTCAAAGTCCACGCCAAGTGATCTTCCAGAGAGAAATTGCTTCACATCAACGAATTAGAGCTGCTGGCAATTATAAAAGCTTGCAAAGCTTTCAGAAATCTCCTTGCTGGCAAGATGTTACAAATTGCCACTGACAACACCACGGCAATGTACTATATTCTCAAACAAGGTGGCACCCACTCTCCAAGTCTCCTATATTTATCAGTCAACCTCTGGGAGTGGTGCCTAGCACATTATATCTGCCTCACGGCTTTACACATTGCTGGCTACGACAATGACTTGGCTGATCTACTCAGCGGCACAAACTCTCAAGCTCATGAATCAGTTTTTCTTCCCCTGTGCGAATGATGGGGCAAACCAACTCTCAACCTCTTCACCTCCCGTGTGAATCGGAAGTGCAAATGATACTGCTTCCAAGTTGGCATTGGCAAGCACTCCCAAGGAGATGCATTCATTGGCCGATGGCCCAAGACCCTCACTTAACCTTTTTCTGCCGTTCCCGCTTCTCCACAAGGTCATGGTTCTCCTACAACGAGACAAACCCAATGCCATCATTATAGCCCCTTGGTGGCCGAGAACCCTTCAAAATCTCTCATTAGACATTCATCACCTCCCTCGTTCTGCCCCACACAGAACAATGCCCAAGTACTCCACCCAGACTTATCTGTTCTGCACCTGGCAGCGTGGAGGATTCCGCCTCACTAATGATCATCCTCCATCAATCAAAGAAGCCCTCCACTAGAAAGGCTTACCTGTATAAATTGAACAGATTCAAATCTTTCACTTAAGCTTCTTCATTGCCTTTTATCAACCCATCACTTGCTACTGTCCCACTTGTTGCAGTACTAGTGTTAGTGACCATTGCAGGGAAGAGTGAACTAAGAGTGAATTAGAGATCTGTGAGAACGCTGAATGGAACAGAGTTAATAGAGCTTTAAAGTTAAAGTAGTATTGATTCAAATACAAGTGATTAGCTACCTGTGATTTACTTATGGAATATTAATCAGATGTTAAATTCCCTGATGTAATAAATGACTTATGTTTTAAAAGCACACATGTCTCCATGATTAAATGGTATTAAGGCAGTAATACAGTGAAGAAAGAAGAAAGGCGAGAACCTCGTAAAGACCTGAGGGGGATAGGGGCTTCAGGGGAGATTGTCACACAAGCATCTTCAGAACCAAAGTCAATACTTACATTAAGATACTGTTTGGTCTCAAGAACCTATTCCCCAAATTCTGTCTATTCCCAAGGTTCCACCTGTACACAGGCCTGTAGACCAGGCTACTGTGACAGACATTACTATCACACCTTCCTTTCCCCATCATATGCATGAGACTGAGGCTTTCAGTTATGTCATGGGAGGCCTTATGACTATGATTGATACCAACATTGTGATGCATCCTGTAATAGCTGATCTCAAAGTCAGTCCCAGGAACATACTCACCTTAGAGCTACAGTAACCAATGTTTCTCAACTGTTTTGATTAAACAGTAAGTTGTATATGGGTGAAGATGTCCCTTTTACCATCTCGAGGTTTCTCCATGTCAAAATGTAAGGTAGCTTTGACTACATCTCAGATCAGACGTATCTTTTTTTAAAAACTAAAAGAATTAAATCTCTGTATATAGCACTACCAGTTTATGGTGATGTATGATGTCATGTTGAAGAGGGATAAACAATTTAATGGAGAAAGAGGGAGAAATTGGACAGTTCATATTTATACATATGCCTTAGCTCCCATAAAGTAGAAGCATAGGTAAAAGCT